AGGGAGGGAGGTGGGGGGCAACGCTGTACGTAGGGTCCATTCCCTCATTTCTGGCGCACCGGCGAGCAAAGGCTGTCGAGACAATGCCATTGAGTCATTGTCAAACTCGTCAGTAGAGTGTGTTCCGGTGCGTTATAAGGGTTGACCTGCCGATGTAGAGTGTCCACCCGTCCTTCCGACCTGCATGGGGCTCCTCTCTCCAAGACAATGCTCATGCTCAGGCTCGACTCGGAGCGGTGGACACTCTAGCTTTCGGGTGCGATCCCTTCGACCACGGTGTTTATGAGGCCAACAAAAGCACCCAGAAAGCAAAGCCTCGCCGGTGCGCCAGAAATGAGGGAATGGACCCTACGTCCGTACGCTTTACGTTGGTCGGCGTGGCGGAGGAGAGGTTGGTTGCTGCTGCTGCTGCTGCTTTGAATGTTGTGGGGCTTTTGATCATCGCGTGCGGGGCGCCGCCGCCGCCGCGCTCGTTCTCCTCCTGGAATGCGACGGACGCGAGGTGTGGCCGGCGCGGCTCAAGAAGGGAGCAGCCAGCGGCAGCAGCTCTCTGCGCGTCCCGACATGCGTTCAGACATTCGCCGCCGCCGTCCGTCGTCGGCGTTCACATTCCGCGGCGCCCCTCCTGCTGCCGGGCCGGTGTGTGTGTGTGTGTGCATTCCTGGTGACCTTTAAAGTCCCCCTTCCTTCACCCCATCCTCCCCGTCTGGGAATTCGGACTGCACCTGGAATCGGTGGCGCCCCGCCGCCGCTGCCGCGTCTTCGTCTTTGGTGTCGATACCCCTCGGCGCGGGGTGCTTGGCCTCCTCGTGGCGCAACATCATGACAGCTGCCGATGATGACGGCGTGGTGGTGTCGATACCCCCGCGGCCCGAGGTACTTCACCTCTCTCCGCTCGAGATGGTGGCGGCGGCGGGAAGTCCCGTGGCGGGCCCGTTGGCGGCGGTGCTGGTTATCTTGCCGACAGCTGAAACCGAACCACGCCGCTGCCTGCCTGCCACGCCCTGCTCCGCTTGACGTCTGTGGCAGGGAGAAGGAGGAGGAGGGTTTCGTCTGGGACGACGACGTCGTCCTCGTCGTCCTCTGGGCGTCCCGCTGCGGCTGGCGCGGCGGCGGCGGCGTCGCGGGGTCTTTCGACGCGACCCCCTCCCTCCCACCGACTGGGCATGCGGGACCATTGATGAACGTGGGAATTGCCGCTGGATTTGGCAGTTGGCGCGCCGAGGGAGGCCGAGGGCGTGTCCGCCAGTGAGTCAGGCCGTCGTAGGGCCCAACCTATCTATCCCCCCGCGCCCGGCCCGGGCTGACTCATGCGCCCGCTGCCGTTGGTTGAGTCACGTTACCCGCGGCGGCGTTAGGTTTCTACGCGTTCGCTATCCGGCCCCCGGGGGCTCTGCTGGTTGCGTTTTAAGCTCGATTAAAGCTCGTCTCGAGTGCTCGGGCGTCGGGCATAGCTGGGCGAATGAATGAATGAATGACTGAATGAATCAGCCTCGAGACTGGTTGAGATTGGCAGGTCGTCGTCGTCGTCGGGAGGGAGGGGTGGAAAGGAGAGTGCGCGGCTGAAGGGTAGCGTGTGGTGTTCTATTGTTCACGTCCCTCGGCCTGCAGCGCTTGCACCTGTTGGGCGTCTGCCATCGCCCCTGATGCCCGCGGCCCGCCGACTGCAACACTCGCGGCTGTTGACCTCGCCCGTCTCGAGTGAGGGTTGCAGGCGCGCGCGAAGGAGAGAGAGGTTTTCCCTGGCGTCCGTCGCGACGGGGACAGTTTGTCTTCGAGGATCGGGCGCAGCGGGCGACGGGACGGGGCGGCGCCGTTGCGGATAAAGGCGAGTTTTCCCGGCGGCTTTGGCGCGAGGGGCTTTTTGGTTTCGCACTCGGGAGGCCTTAATTGGCGCCGGTTTCCCTCATCATCGCACGCCCGCTCTCCTGCTGCTGCCGCTGGCCTGGCGGCGGCAGTGTTGCGGGAAATGGGAATGGGATCGTTTGTTTTGGAAAGTTCGACGACGGACGGACGGCCGCTCTGCTTCGCGTTGCTCCGGCGGAGGAAAGGAAGGGCTGCGGACTCGACCGCCGCGTCTCTTTTTGTCAGGGTTGCTCTCTTCTCCACTGTCTCCACACTGCCCCGTCCCTCGGATCCCATACTAGTGATCCCATATGGAGCATGGTGGGGTGTTTCACCATGGCAGGGGATGTTTCGCTCGCGGACTTCGACGTCCCACCTAAGTTGCCGGTGATTCATGTTCATGTGAACTAACGCCTTAACCCTCGTTGAAGTTGAAAAGCATGCAAGGCCCTCACGGTGGTGGTGGTGGTGTCCTTGGCGCCTGCCGCCCCGTTCACCGTGGGCGCGTTGCAGAGGCTGGCTGTGGTGGGGCCGCCCCAGACCCATTGACCACCACCTCCTCCTTGTCGTCGGCGGGATTAGCACCGTGTCGCCTTTCATTAGCGTTGCGGCCGGGAGGGACTTCCCTCCACCACCACCACCATCACTACCACCACTACCATCACCTCCATCACCTCCATCACCCCCATCACCTCATCTCACGGGTCGGGGTGGGATACACCTCCGCTCCCCGAGGCGGGGGCGCGCTCGTCTGCACCGCGCCGGTGTTGCTGCGCGAGTGATAAAGGCCCTGTGCCTCGGCTTGTTGTTTTTGTTTGCCCGCCGCGACGTGGCGACACAAACACTCTTTCGGTCCCCCTCTCTCCGGCGTCACCGCCGCCGCTGCGTAGAAGCGATACGAGGAGAAATTGACGAAGCGAAGCTGCCAGCCGTCGCCCAGCTGCGTCGTCGTCGCAACTTCCCAAAAACTAGCTACGCCGCCGCTGCTGCTGCCGCCGGGTCGGTCGGTCTCTCTGTCTCGGTGGTGCCGGTTGCTGCCCAGGCCCAGCCAGCTCTGGTCCGTTGCGTGCTTGCGTCATGTTACGTCGCGCCTCCTCCTCCCCGGGCTGCGCGGAGCCTGCTTAGGCAACCGGCAGCGCTGCTCTGAAACATCCTAGAGTGAAAGTAGTGCGCGGAGGGGTTCCTATCTATCTGCGCGTCAGGAGGGTGAACAGGAGTAAGGTGGTTCCTCTGCGGCAGCAGGCCAGGCAGGTTGTCGTTGGTTCGGCTGCACCCATACACGGTCGATCTCCCGACGGAACGATCAGCGCGTTGTACTTGCACAGGAATCGATGGTGTGTTGTACAGCAGCAGCGGGGAGGGGGTGTAATCGCCCTTGCGGGGTCGCCCCCGTGCCCCCCAGCCCGCCCGCCGTCCTTATCGGCGTTGACTCTCGGGGCCCCGGGGCCCTGGCGTGGGCGGCTTTGTCCCGGCGGAGCCTAGGCCTTGCTGTGCGCACCTGGCCGAGCACTGGGGCAGCGTGGGGGTGGTGGTGGTGTAGCAGGAGGGGCACACGCTGGGTGACCTGGAGCCAGGCAGACGCCCTGGAAATGTCAGGCTGACTGGCTGGGGCTGGGCGGCGTGGCGCGGCCCTTGCCTGGGCCCGCCCCCTCCAGGGGCCTCACGGGCCTGTCTGTCTCGCCAGCCGTCTGCCAGCGTTGCCACGTGGGCCTGCCAGCCCTACCTAGCGGCCCTCGTGTGAGAGGTGCGCAGAGGAGCCGAGCGGCAGCCAATCACAGCGCTTTGGTATCGCCTG